GTGACACCGAGCCACAACGTCAGTCCCGCTGCTCCCCCGCGCCGGGCGGCGAGGCCGGGGGCAGCCCTAAGGAGGGACCTGCGGAGGGACCCGCTGGCGCTGACGGGCCGGTTCCCCCCAGGCTGACCCCCAAGGCCTCCCCGTTTACCTCCCCCCTCGGTTCTGCGCCTTCCCCTCCCCGCCAGAGCGCGGGTTGCCCAGCGCTCAGCATCCCTCCGTTCAAACGGGGGCAGGGCCCTGGAACAGATCCTGCCCCGTCTCCAAGCTGCGGGGCTGATTGTTGATAGAGGTTTGCCTTTTTTTTTTTTTTTTTTTAATTGAAAAAGTAACGGGGGAGAGGGAAATTGGGCCAGAAAACAGCAGGAAAGACTTGTATGGAATAAGCACTGAGGCTCCCAGGCTGCAGGGCTCTACAGCAGTCTCCTGTAAAGCTGGGGCAGCTACAGGGAAGGGCCGTGGCAGACGCAGCCGTTTACACTCCTCCTGCCAGACACCGGGAGGAGGGAGGAGACGGTGGATCCCCAGGCACGGAGCCGTTTCGGAGTCCGGGCCGGTGGTGCTGGCACACAGCCTCCCCCATCCACCGCCAAGGCAACACAGCAATGTCCAGCCTGCTCAGCTTCAGCTCCTGCCCCAGAGCTCTGCTGCTGGGAAGCGGGTCAGCTCTCCCACCTCCCTGAAGGGCTGCGCGCCTTGCGTGAACGCTAGCTTGTATCTCAGCCGGATGGGATCCTAGAGAGAAAGGAAGAGAGAGGGGCACGTCACAGCTGCAGACGCCTTCAGCCTCAGCCCTCGCAGCCTTGCTGCAGGGAATCACCCTCTGAAAGGGGAGAATAACACTTCAGCCCCGTGGAAGCTCTGCACAGAACAAGACCTGGATCTTCTTAAGATACATAAGGGAGACTGTGCAAGCCCCCCAAGGGTATGCTTGGCCATCCAGGCCCGGCCAGCCCCCTCCGTGACAGGGGAGTCCTTACACCAATCTTCAGTCTCGGGATTATCCACCAGTGCAGCAGAACTGCCGCCCATTGCTTGTGTCTTGGGTGGCCTCGTGTTCCATCAGCTGCAGATGTCTGCGCAGCGTCTACCAGGAGCCAGGGCTGCAGGGAGGCTGCAGCAGAACTGTGCAGGCCCCTGCAGCAACTGCCCATTCGATCCTTCAAATTATAGCACTGGAAAGCTGTTCCAGTGGGAAAAATGCCTTCCCAACACAGCTCAGACTGCTCTGTCTCTCTCCTGCATCTCCCCACTGACGATACTCTCCCCATCTTTCTCACAAATACCCAAGTGCTACAGTGACAGTCCCCAGCAGAGCCAGTCCCCACAGATACCTTGTGCGGGTTGGCGAGGAGCAGGACCTGGGACACCACCGCAGGGGGCAGGAGAGGGCTGAAGGCAGGCAGCTCAGAACCCGATGCTGGCTGTAACTTTATTTTCATGGTCTGAAAGAGAAAACAAAAGGAACTCTTTTTGGTCCATGCTGGAAAAGGGCTGGGAGTGTTAGCAAGGCACAGAGCTGGTTAAAGACACGTCAGCCAGGTTTTGTCATTCAGTGAAAAGCGTGCCTCCCCCCAGCCTGCATCCGAAGGTGGATGTTCCTGACTAGAGAATTCTACGCTGCACATACACAGGCAGAACGAGCACCTTACCCAGGAGGCTAAAGCAGCATGTCTGGAGCTCTGTCTAGTTGTCACAAGGCCTGGGATACCTGTGAAACAGGCACCGGGGCCACAGGCAGCCCGATACAACAGGCTCACTGTTCAGGGACAAGGAGACGTGCAATTTCCAGTGAGCAAGAAATGGTGAACCTTCTCCTCAGGACATTTCTGAGTAGTCGCTACTTGTCACGGGCTTCTCACCTTCGGGACTGCAGCCTGGAACTCTATGTCCTTAATCGGTTGAGCTGATGTGCTCAGCATGGAAAGAACCATCACCAGCACGTCTGGTCGGCCAGGAGCCGGGTCTCCAGAGAAGTGGAGCATGGCCTTGAAACCATTCCTGTCGTACACAGTAAGTGGACAGATGCTGCCTGCTGGAGATAAAAGGAGAATCAGAAACAGAGCATGGATTCCGCTCCCTTCCGAGGGCAGAACAGCAGACAGGACAAGGAACAGCAAACGGGAGACACACATACAGACTTTTACTTCCTCCAGCAAGCTCACAGAGCAAGCAGCACACAGCACCTGCCTGTGATTTACATTTCGCCTCTAAGGCAGAGAAAGGAACCTGAATGTCTAAATTGGAGATTGAGCAGCTCAGATTACAACAGCCAGCTAGAGATGTCAGGCATGGATCCAACAGATAGGACGGGAAAAACAAAACGTAACTCTTCAGCACACAGCAGAGTCAGTCCCTTGTCACCATCATCTGGTAAACCCACACCTGACTGTCACCACCCAACCCTTCCCAAATCTGCTCAGTCCTCCCCCTGAGGGACTGAAGTGAAGACAAACGGGTCAGAATGTCTTTGCACCTGACCTCTTCCAAAGGCAGGGACAGCCAAGGCTCTGCAGTCTCTGAGCGGGCCGGGCCCTGCTCCGGGACATGGGTCCCCTGTGGAAACACCCCAGTAACAGCGAGCGGCTGCAGGGCCGGGCAGTACTGGATCAAAAAGCAGAGGTGGGAAGGACAGCTCCCACCCAGAGACAGACCTTCTGAGTGTCTGAGGAAGAGCTGCTTGGTAAGGGCAAACAGGTTAGAAGCAGATCACAGAGGTCAGCCAGGGCAGGAAACTCCTGACCCTGAGTAGGGAGGACAAGGACATTTCCTTGGGACAATCCCCAGCACTTGCTCAAATTCTCAGATACTCTAAGTCCTTCCTAGAACAGTCATTACTTTCTCCAGCTGACCCACACAGCATGAAGCTACTTTGGCTCACTCCCCTGCAAAAATCACAGAAGAGCTGTAGTAAGCAGAGCTGGGGCACAGAAATCATTGTACTTACTCAGTGTAATTGAAATTAAAGGGACAAAAAGGTTTTCCAGAGAAGCACCATAGGAAGCTGGATGCAAAGAGGCAGCAGGCTTCAGCTCGTAGCCTAGACTGGAGAATGAAGAGCTGTCTGGAAGATCTGGAAAGGGGAATTTCACTGGTGATAAATCCCTGGAAAGAAAAGCATGTAGAAAGCTTGTATTAACTGGGGAGGCTACGTGGTACACACCATCTTCTGCTGCATCCCTTGGTACTCCCAGTCCCTCATCCCTTTTACGTATAAAGAAAGTACAAGCTTACACCCTCCTGAGTCCTTGAGAAATTTGAAAACTGTCTCTGTTTTATGTAGAAGAAGCTGCTGTTTCTGTATTCATTAAGGCAGACTTTGGTGTCTGTTACTGTCACAAAACTTTGTTTGGGGGCTTTGGAACTCTCCTCTCCCTGTGCACAGACTCTCTGGAGCTCCAGTCAGGGAGGCTAAAGTACATTCTAGCTCAAAGACAGTGCAAGAAGCTGGGAATCTCCAGTAAATTTTCTTGGCTTGTATTATGTCAGGCTGGATAAATGTATCGTAATGATCACCTGCTCTGAAGATCTGTGGATGATTAGTTTGGTTCACAAACTGTTAAACTTCCACTGAGCGCCTGGAAACTACTTTGTCACAGCCTGAAGGAAGCCGGGGAAGGTATTTTTTGAGTTGCAGGCTATCATAAAAGGACCTGACTGTAAGGTTTTTGTTCCTTTAGCTCAAGATCACCTTGTTACTAAGCCATGGGATTTGTGTCCCCAAGTTTCTGACCCTTGGAAGGTCCTAGTGTGCAATTACACAAAGTGCAATAACAGGCACATAACTGCTGCTAAAGAGCCAACGTGCGGCCAGACAGCTTGTCATCACCAACCACCTGTAGTGAAAGGTTTTCCCAAACCTCCCTGCTGTCAAACTGTTCCTCATCTCCAAAGCCAGACTGTATTACGCAGGGTTTGCTTACAAAGACAGTGTCTCCGTCCTGGACAGTGGAGAGAACTGAGGGTCCAGGCCCTGGAATTCGTTCCTCTGGGAGCAGCCGTCGTCCCAGCTCTCCTGCAGTCCCAGCGTGTGAACAGCACTTACAGCTTCACCATTGCCATTGTGCACAGCACTCTGAAAGGTAAGGCACTTCTGGTTCATGCTACAGAGCATCAGCAAAAATCAGGCCTGATTTTTGACCCGTGTGCCTTACGGACTAAAGTACCCAAGGATCACTCACCTCTGCTAATCCAAAATCAGGTGGTGATTTCTGTACAACAGGAGAGTTGCTGAGATCTAAGAAGAAAAATGCCAAAATGCCACAGATCAATTACAGAAAGCAAAGGTTTTCCGCGGTTCTTCCTTTGTTGTCTAACAGCAGCTTGACTACAGTCCAACACCATTAAAGAAACGACATTCTCGGAGCCTTATGACACCAGCTGAGGGTCGACTTTCTCTTAGGACTGAGGTTACAGTCAGGGTTCTCCCAGTTTATGAAGTGCCACGAACCCCAGTGACAAGGACAACACCGTACTGAACTGCACAGACAGACCTAATGACTTTAACTCCTCATGGAGCAGACAGGTGGAGGTTGTGCTGCCGTGGCGGGAGGTGCTGGGCACGTTGGCAAAGGGGTCTGTGGGAGACCGGGACGTGGCCTCCAGCTCAGAGAAGTCAATCAGAGTGTAGCTCTTCATGCGCCTCGGGGCTGGCCGGCAGGCTGTGGAAACAGCAGAAAGGCTTCAAAAGAAACCCAAAAGGGGCAGTGCACTTGTGGGTACAGGCATGCCCCAAAGGCCTCACAGCTGAAGAACTTCAGGAGTATTTTCTATCAACCATATGTAAAAGAAAATGATGGTTACATGAGAGTTTTCCCGTGATATGGGATTTTCTCCACATTTATCCTCCGAGAGGCCCTTTCCCTTCCGACCCACACGCGTGCTGTGCCGGGGCAGAGAACCCCGCAGGATGCCCTTTACCTGGTGCCTCAGCAGAGCTGGGGGCTGAACCTCCTCCCCCACTGCTGTCAGGGCTGGCCACGACCTGCCTGTAGTGTCCGAGCGCCCAGGCGAGCTGGTCGTTGGCCTGCAGGATCTCAGCTGGAAAACGAGAGGAGAAGCCACCCATCAGTGCTCTGACAGCAGGCTCAGTCCCGCGGCGCTCTGCAGGCTGCTCACGGGAAAGGGTCGGGGCCTCCCAGCACCTGCCTGGGGCAGAGGCCAGCGGGACAACCTGCCCCAAGCTCCTGGCTGGTTTTTCACTCTGCAGTGCAG